GTCAGAGGAAGCCTCAGAATCCTTGCCTCCAAGGAGCAGCTCATTTTAACCCTCTCCAATCTGTTTTCTTAGCAGCCCATGGTACCCTCAATACTCTTCTCCAACACCAAAGCTCAAAGGCATCAATTCTCCTTCTATCCTCCCTAGTCATTTTCCAACTCTCTGACGCATAACGTGTGATTGCAAAGACCATGGCCTGTATCAGATGCACTTTAGTCTCCAGAGAGACACCGTTGCTCCTCAGTACTTTAGAGATGTCCCTAAAAGCAGACTTTCCCATTGCAACACGTCCTTTAATTTCCTGGCTGCTGGTGCCAAGGGTGTTGATTGTGGAGCCAAGCGGACTAAAGCTGTGAACAATCTCAATCTCTTCAGCATCCATCCTGATTCTGCCAATTGGCCCAGTGGCGAGAATCTTTGTCTTCTTGACATTGAGCCTCAATCCATATTGAAGGCTGCAGTCCTTGACCCTCAGCAGCAAGGGCTTCAGATCCTCCTCAGTTTCAGCAGGCAGGGTTGTGTCATCGCATAATGCAGATTGTTGATATATCTTCCACCAATATTGACCCCACATTTCTCCTCATAGAGCCCAGCCTCCCCGATTATCTGTTCTGCATACAGGTTGAAAAGGTATGAAGATAGGACGCATCCCTGGCGTATGCAATTCCCAATTTTGAACCATGCAGTGTTCCCTTGCTCTGTTCTGATGACTGCCTCCTGGTCCAAGTATAGGTTTCGCATTAGCACGATCAAGTGTTCTGGGATTCCCATTCTTCTCAGAGTCAGCCACAGTTTGCTATGGTCCACACAGTCAAACGCCTTTGCATAATCAATGAAGCATAGATAGACATTCCTCTGGTACTCCCTGCTTTCAGGCAAGATCCATCTAACATTAGCCACAATATCCCTAGTACCACGACTCCTTCTAAACCCAGCCTGGACCTCTGCCAGTTCTCTGCTGATGTGCGGTTCCAGTCATTTTTTGGATAATCTTCAGCAGAATTGCTTGCATGTGAAATCAACGATATTGTTCTATAGTTTCCACACTCTGTTGAGTCACCTTTCTTTGGAATGGGAACAAATATGGATCTCTTCCAGTCAGTTGTCCAAGTGGTTGTTCTCCAGATTTCTTGCCACGACTTCGTGAGCACATCCAGGGCAGTATTTTTTAGCTGAAATATGTCAATTGTTATACCATCTATTCCTGGGGCGTTATTTTTTTCTATTTTCTTCAAAGTAGCTTGAATTTCTTCCTTCATCACCATAGGCTCTTGCTCATGTGTTGTTTCATGAAATTCTTCTGTGTCTGCCAATTCCTTTGATACAGTGACTCAGTATATTCTTTCCATCTTCTTTTAATACTACTTGGATCATTTAATATTCTGTCTAACGCATCCTTTATTATAGCACCTCGAGGTTTGAATTTGTTGTTTAGTTCCTTGAGCTTAAGATATGCTGAGCGAGTTCGGCCCTTTTGACTTTCTGACTCCCAACTCCTTGCACATTTCACTGTAATATTTTACTTTGTCATCCCGTGCTGCCTTTTGAAATCTTCTATTCAACTCTTTAGTATATTGAATTCTTCCCTCTGCTTTGGCTTCTCTGCGCTCCAGTGCAATTTTCAGAGTCTCTTCTGACATCCATTTTGACCTTTCCTTCCTCTTCTATCTTTGCAATCACCATTTTCACTCTTCCTGGATGATACCCTTGATATCCTCCCACAACTCTTCAGGTCTTCACTCATCTCATTAGTGTTCAAGGCCTCAAGCCTGTTCCTGAGATGGTTCTGAAATTCAGGTGGGATAGACTCAAAATCATATTTTGGTTACCTTGGATTTGGTTTAATTTTCCTCAACTTCAGCTTGAACTTGCATATGAATAGTTGGTGGTCTGTTCCACAATCAGCTCCTGGCCTAGTTTTCACAGCTGATACTCAACTTCTCCTGCGGTTCTTTCCACAGATGTAATCGATCTGATTCTTATGGTACCATCAGGTGAGTGGGAAGCTCCTCTTTACAAGCAAAGGTTTAGGTTGTTAGAAGATTAAGTTCCTGTCATGGTTTGGTTACTTTTCAAGGTGTTTGCATCCTTTCTGGATTTTCTTTCTCCCCTTTATTCATCTCTTCTATTCTCTCCTGTGTTGACTCCAGCCTCCCACTGATTTTAAGAGGAACCAAAGTCTTCAGTGCCTAAATGTTATTCACAAAATATTTTTAAAAATCTGGAGGATGGACATTGAAGTAATAATGTTTATTTTTGTGGAAGGTACCCACCAGGTTGTTTTTATAAAATGTTTATTTTCTAGGAAGACTTATTTACCTTGTTTTGAGAGTTGTACTCCTACAGCATGATGTCAAAACAGATTTTTGATTAGCTAGTTCAGAGCCCGAGTAATGTTTCTTGGTAATAAATATGACAATTATTAAACCTATTATGTACATTGTGAGTTTCTTAAAAACACATATATAGCACATGGTATGTATCTGGTAACTAGTAATTGCTGAATAAATTGTTGTTTTTCTAAAGTTATCATACTGAATAACCATCTGTTGTTAGACCTAGCGAGGTGACTACTGTGTATGTGGAACCCTACTAACAGAAACCTTTCCCTTTCTTGTACTGTCCTTTGAAACTCTGCCATGCTCAAGCCTATAGTTTGTCCCTGTCAATCTATCTCTTTGACTGTCTTCCTCTCCCTGATTTTCTATGTATGATGTCTTTTTCCAAGGATGAACGCCTCCTAATATCGTGCCAAATATTTGCAAAATTAAATGTCACCATTTTTGCCTTTAAAGAGAACTCTGGTTGCATTTCCAGAGCGATAGATAAAGGTTATTCAAATGTCATCTCCAAAATCCACAGTTCAAAGGCTTTGAGTTCTTTGGTCTTCCTAATTCATTGTTCTTTTCAATGCAGAGCATTGAATACAGCATTTTCTGTATGCAGAGGAGATTATCCGAGAGAGGCTGGGCTCTATGAAAAGTATGGCGTCAGGATTGGTTGAAGATCTATTAACAATCTGCGTTATGCAGGTGACACAATCATACTTGCTAAAACTGAGGAGGACCTCTTGCACTTGCTGCAGAGCCTTCAGTATGGACTGAGGCTCAATGTCAAGAAGACAAAGATTCTCACCACTGGACCAATTGGTAGCATCAGGACGGATGGTGAAGAGATTGAGATTGTTCACAGCAACTCTTGGCACCAGCAGCCAGGAAATAAAAAAAAAACATATTGCGATGGGAAAGTCTCCTCTTAGGGACCTCTCTAAAGTACTCAAGAGCAACAGTGTCTATTTGGAGACTACGGTGCACCTGATACAGACCATGGTCTTTGCAATCACTTGTTATGCATCAGAGAGTTGGACAATGTCTAGGGAGGACAGAAGAATTGTTGTCTTTGAGCTGTGGTGCTGGAGAAGAGTACTGAATGTACCATGGATTGCCAAGAAAATAAACCTATTCATCCTGGAGAGGGTTAAACCAGGCTACTCCTTGGAGGCAAGGATTCTGGGGCTTTGTCTGACATACTTTGGACATGTTGTAAGGAGGGACAGTTCCTGGGATTGTGACATCACGTTTGGGAGGGTGGAGGGAGAGCTCAGGAGGGGAAGACCCTCTTTGAGGTGGATTGATTCAGTGACTGGGGTAATCGGGATGGGTGTGTCAGAGGCAATGCGATTGGCATAGGATAGAGCAGGGTTTAGGGCTGTTGTACATAGGGTCACTATGAGTTGCAAGTGACTCGATGGCACATAACAACAACTCATTGTTCAACATTCACATGCAAATGAAGAAATGGAAAAAACTATGACTTGAACAAAGGGCACCTTAGTTTTTGAACTGATATCCGTGCTCTTTAAGAGCTAGTAATATTTTTTAAGTATATAAATTGCATTAATTTAAAAAGTTTTAACTTTTGAGACAACTCTGAGTTTTCAGAATATACGAAATGCACGTTTTATTTGATCATCACATTTACCCCAATCAAAACCACAGTAACCTGGCATTTTTTTTTCTGGTGACTACTTTTAGAAAAAGAGAACGTTTCTACAGAACTAAGCACATTGAATATGCTGAACACTACAGAAACAATCCTTCCGTGGTTTAGCCATCCTCTTGAAGCCAATAGATACACAAAAGAAATGTAAAAAGATCTGAGAGGCCACCAAATAAACGCCCCTGCCACGATTTTTCAACCTAAAAATCATCCCATTTAAAATGTTCTTCATTTTAAACGAGGGCTCTTTTATGAAGAAAAATAGCTCCATGTGTGTGTCTGTTTCCAATTCAGGGTCTGTCCCAAGGTAAATGAGTCAAATATTTTTTCTCACTGGCCAGGCCGCCTCGGTGGTATGTCGCAAGGCTTGCGGGGATTAAAGATTGCAATTAAGACGCTCCTTCCTTTTCCCGGTCAAGTTCCCAGCACCCGCACTGTGGACCTGTGAGTCACCCCAGCGGATCCGGGCGAAGCTGAGCGCAGCGCACGCGCCTCACCATTAGAGGAAAGGGGCAGCACCATCTGCGAGATTTAAGAAGCCTCAGAAGGAAGAGGAGGGGCAAACGCGTGAGTGGAAGAAAAGAAAGAGGCCTCGGAGGAAAGGAAGGGAGGGGAGGAAAAAGGAAGGCGGAGAAGGAAGGGGGCGTGCGGCGGGGCGGGGCGGAGTCGGGCTGCCTCGCGCCCCAGGGAGGGTCTGGCGCGGGGGCCGGGCGGCGGGGCGGGGCAGCGGGCGCTGAAGGCTTGGCCGGGGCTGTCGGGAGTGGGGCGCTGCAGCTCTCTGGCTCACTTGGCTGCCGCGCCTCCGTCGGCCTGCGCCTCGGCTCCGCGGGACATGTCTGTGTCCAGATCGCCGTGCGCCCAGTGTTGCTAGCTTCCTGGGGGATTCCTGCCTGCTGGGGCCAACACCTGGTGGAGGAGCCCGGCTCGGTGGCGTTAGCGAGAGGCTCCTCGCAGGCGGTGAGTCTGTCGGCTCTGTGTGCTGCTCGCAGACCGCTGCCGTCATGGGGCTGCAGCCCCTGGAGTTCAGCGACTGCTATCTCGACAGTCCCTGGTTCAGGGAGAGGATCCGCGCCCACGAAGCGGAGCTGGAGAGGACCAACAAGTTCATCAAAGAGCTCATCAAGGACGGGAAAAACCTTATCTCTGCGACCAAAAGTAAGCGGCGGCTGAAGGCGCTGGCGGGGACCTAGGCGCGGGCGGGCTGCGGCGTGGCGAGGCCAGGAGGAGCCTCTCCCGGGGGGATATTGACGATCTGGGGCTCAGAGGCCGCGCCTCGAGTGTTCACGGCCCGCTGGCGGAGAAACAGAAGGTTGATTCTCGACTAGCTGAGGTGCTCTGATCCCCCGAGTTATACCTAGTCAAGGCGGCCGATGGCCAGCCCCTTGGCCCGCTGGTGCCCCTCTGTGGCGGCGGGCGGAGGAGCCCTGCCTGGGGGCGCGCCACCGGGGAGCCCCGGCTGTCTTCAGACGTGCACCCTTTAGTGCATGCATTCTCCGTTGGGCAGACCCAAAGCGCTCACGGTACCATGCCAGGCTTTCTTACATCCTGAAGCTGCACAAGTCCTACACCAAGCAGGCTTCAGTTTACAAATTTTGTCTCGTGATTTTTCATTTAGAACTCCCCCGGGGATTCTTTGAAAGCTTGCTTGGTGTTGAATTCTTACCAGCGACTTTTAAACTCACCCTTTCCGTCTCCTTTTCTGATCTTTGCTAGCAGTTTAGTAGCGTCCCGGGTCAATCATTCAGCAGTGCGGTACCAGAAAGTCCACCTTGCTTTGTGCTTCTTTCCGCACATTCCTTCCCTGCGTTGGGGAGAGTTCAAAGATTGGGACTTGTCAAGAGTGAGCGGATAGCTTGCCCTCTGGCTAGGACAAGCATTGCCTGTAAATAGGGAATTCCACCCCAGTCAGTGTAACTTCCTCTCCTGGTCCTTATCTTTTGAAAAACCCCAGGTGGCCACGGGAGAACTAGAGAGATAATAGTAGAGCAGAGAAGAGGTTTCTAGGAGGGAGGTTGGCAGAAATTCGTGCTGAAACATCTAGTTGATGCTGCTGCTGGGAAAATTGTGAGGAGTTATCTGGATTGGGAAGTTGAGCTGACTACCCCAGGACTCCTCTGAGGATTCCTGCGAGTCTCTTTTCTCTGAACATTTTAAAAGACCTACAGATACAGCAGATAGGTACAGTGTTCCGTCTCACAGGTCTTTTTTGTTAAGGTCTTTATCTATCATTAGTCCCTTAAGTCTCTCCCTTCAGTAATTCTTCGTTTTGAGAATGTGTACCTTGCATACTTTTTTGTAGACACCATCTCTAGGGGAAAAAAAAAATCCATGTTACTCTTCTTCCCCCCAAATTTTAATCAAGGGGAATGAAAAATATTTTCTTCCAAGTGCCTAGTATACCTAAATAGTCATTTAATGAATGAGTTAAACATATGTTTTAATAGGAAGACTTTTTTGTGAGTCGTCTCTATAATATTGGAAGCAAGTCATTCAGCTTCTTTGGATGATTTCCAAGGTTCTTTTTGGCTCTGTGGCGTGGCAAAATCCAGATTAGGATGATTTTGTTTGAGATGCAAGTTGATGGCTCTTGAGTTTCTTGGTATGTGTTGGGTGGGAAGTAGAGAGAGGCTCCTTATCTAATAGAGATTGAGTATAGGAAGATGAAGATGTGGAGAAGAGCACAGGAGGAAGGAGCCAGTGAGGATGAGGTTGTTGTTAACCAGTGTCACTCTTGTGGAGTGGACCTTCTCTTTTCTCTTAACTGGCTGTAGCAACCCTTTCAGGAGCTAGGGGCATGAGAAAGAAGGCTTGGTGTGGAGAGAGGCAGATGGCAAAGCCAGTTTGGCCACTGGTAGAAGGCTATTTATATGACTGACTGCCTTTTAGTTCTTCTGCCAACAGGATGCCTGCCTTGTGTTCCAGCAGCAGCTAGTGCATCTGGGGGGGACAGCTGTCAGCCTTCCTCCTGAGAATGTAGACTTTCTTGATTTTGTGAATTGTTAACCCATTCCTTTGATTCCTGCGCATTATCGTAAGAAATATAATCTGCACTTGTGTTTAAGAGAGCACCTGGAAAGTACCTTTTTTCCTTTAATAATATTGAATTAATTCTTTTCCAAAAGAAGAAAATACAAATTTAATGCTTATACCCTTTGGTTCATCCAAACTGCATTTTTCCATACTATGTCCATAAAGTGTATTGACAGTTTCCTTTTAAAGAATCTCAACACTGAACTTACGTGTAGTTCTCTGAGTTGAGCTCTTGACAGTTAAGGCCTGGCTGATTGACAGCTGGGAAGATCACCTAGTTCTTTCATGTTTATTTTCTTCTGCCCTATTTCTTAGATGCATGTGTAAGGTTCTGCAGCATTGGGAAACCGTCTGATTAGGTCATTTGAGATTGCAACCCAGGTCAAACGTTCACACAACCAGTTGGGCCTTTCCATGTACCAGAGAGGCAGGAGAGTCAAGGAAGGGCGGTAGGTGGAGGATCTGCAGAAAGAATAACAATCCACGTGGCCAGATTGTTTATATTTCCAGATGTTTTGCATTTTGATTTTGAAAAATTGGCTTTTTAAAAGCATTTTCAGGATTACGTGTGTTCACTGTTTTCTGTTTTTAATTGCCTTGTAAAAATGCCTTCTGCATGCATGGAATGCTTGTTGGATTTTATATCAATTTGATGTCTTGAAAAGTCCAGAAAGATTTAATGAATTTGGAAGAAGTTCCGTAGGACTTGAAGATTTCCAACTAAGTTAAATTATTTAGCAACCAGCACCAATATTTTGTTAAATAATAGGATGAAGCTGTCAAGTGGTAACCAGGTGGAGGTCCTTGCCTTTGAGTTTATCATCCTTTGTTGTTGCTGTTGTTGTTGTGTACCATTAAGTTGGAGCAGACCCATAGCCGACCCTCCAGTGGATTTTCATTTCATTGCAAGGGAGGAGATTGCCCATCTTTCTCCTACAGAGCAGCTGATGGATTTGAACTGTGTGCCTTCTGGATTGTAGCTTCTTGCTACTAGGCCACCAGAGCTCACATCATCCTTTAGTTAAACTGCAGTTTAAAGTAGGGAACATTACTGAAGTCTTTTCTGCACTATACTCAGTTCTTGAAGAATCAAAAAGTACACAGACATAAAAGTTAAATGATTAAAAATTCAGTGATGAGTATAGTGGAGAAAATTTTGGAACTCAGTGGTATTTTAACGGCACACCAGGATTTTGTCAGATTGGAGGTTGCACGGAAGAAACCAGAGTACTTGCAGTGTGTTGGGGAAGAATAAGGAGATCAGCTTGGCTGGAGTGGAGAGTTCATTTCAGATTGAGATGAAGGCAAAGGTCAATTTCCGATTATTTAGGGATGTAACAGGGAGGTTGGGAATGTGTACTCTGTCATGTTTCACATCACTAACGGTTTGTCAGCAGAAACCTAACATAATGGGAACGAGATAGCTTAGAAATTATATTTGACATCTGTGTGAAGGGTGCTCTAGACGTGGCTGTGGGGTGGGGACACTTGAGCCATTGACTTTAGTGATGGATTTGAAGCAGTCATTCAATTCAATGGATTCTTTGTTTAGAATGGTTTTTCAGCTTTGCTTTTCCCCTTCTTTTCCTTTCCTAGAATAACCAGTGCCCTCTCTAAATACAATTAAAACTTTTGTTAGCCTTTTGTGTGATGTCTATGAAGTTTCTGATGCTTATAATTCATACAGATGCATATTCTTTTTTATTTGTCAGAAAACAGCAGTGAGCCAATATGTTTTTCTCATAAGTTTTGTATTAGGTGTTTTTGAGAAAAATACATTCTGTTCTATGGGGAATTTTTAAATAGCATAGTCTTAATAGTTATTAAGCATTTAAATAGCTTCGTAGAATGTGTTATAATAAATGTAGATCAGGCAGCTTTGTGTGTGTGTGTGTGTGTGTGTGTGTGTGTGTGTGTGTGTGTAGAAAGAAAGAAGCAGAGCCTGGAATGGTCCCTCAGAAATGATCCTGCTCTTGCTACAGACTTGAAGAAGGACATAAGGAACTTTGCTTCCAGTTTTAGAACGTCTTTTAAACCACAGTATTTTAATGGTTTTTGCTTTGTTTCCCTTAGGAAAACAGAGAAGTTTTTTTTTTGCAGTTTTTATTCTATTTGTTATTTTAGAGAAAATATTTTTGTGGTGATTCCTTCTGGGGAAATTTCTCAAGCTGTCATTGCATTGAACCATACGGAATCTTGGGAGACTTAAATATATTTCACTTTTTTTTTGTAAACATGAATCTTGATTTTATTATTTGTACAATAGGACTAGGCAGAAAGCGTTTAGGACTGATGAGAAATGCAAACGTAAAAGGCTGGGTGATTATTGTCAAAACCAATTTCTAGCTGACCTTATAGAGGACTTTCAGTGGCTACAAATTGCACAGGAGGCAATGGCCTATATTTTTCCCACAGAGTAGCTGTTGGATTAAAAGTGACTGCCTTTGGACAAGCACAGTTTGTTACCACTGGGATTGGCTGCTAATCAAAGCATCAGCAGTTTGAACCTGTCAGTCATCTTATAGGAGAAAGACTTAAGAGTCTTGAAAACCCAATGGGATGGTTCTGTTCTGTTTGGTAGAGTTGCTCTAAGTTGGAATCTACTGCACAGTGGTGAGTTTCCTCTCACGTGGACGGTGAGAATGCTGCTATTTGGCCATGGGTGACCTCACCCTAATTTCTCGTCATGGAATCCTCAGAGGTTCCTAGATGGACTCTCAAAGAAGCTAATTTGAATTCTGTGACTCCAATAACTCTTTATCATTTTGCCTTTTTTTTTTATGCTATGAAAGAGGTAATAATTATAAGGATAAAACTTACTGAGTGATTGTTGATTATACATTGTAGGACATATAATAAATTGTATATATTTGACCTCAGATAATGTATGACATACTGCCTATAAAATTTTTCCTTTTATTTTTTCCCCTTTAAATTTTTGTTTAAATCTTATTTTACTGTTGCTGAGAATGCAAACAGTGAAAGAGTGTAAAATTTAGTGTTAGAAACATAACTATTAGATGTTTTTTATGGCATTTATTGTTGTCTTAGATTACTTTTGGCTTTCTACATCTTGCTTAAAGGAAACTTGTTAAATTTGCTTTGTTTCAGGATTTAAAGGAATT